CAAGAGCCACTGTTGTATTAACATGGGCCAAGTACTTATGGTCCATGAACGTTGCACATCACACATCCATACATCACATGCATGAAAACACAATTGATCCAATCAATTAATATCTGTAAAACCCATTATTAAAGCCCAATTATTATCCATAAAATTATTGATTAATATTATCTACGTATATGGGCTGAATAGTAGTGAGCACTTTGGCCCATATAGCTTTTGTACAGTTAATGGGCTTAAGCAATTTTAACACATTAAAACTGGGCTTTACAGGTGTGGGCCGAATTATATCTTGCAATTAACTATCAATCCCTTGACCCAAGAGTGAAAAATAGGGCTGAGAACAGCCCCCATCGAACCACAGATTCGGCCCAACCAGTTTGGTCTAATCTGGTTTGAATGGGTCTAGGGTTTGATTTTTAATTCAAGAATTGATTTGAAATTAAATTACTGATAAAAGATAATCAAGAATCAGTACTAGGGTTGTTCACAGATCTGCTACCTGCAAAACAGATGTTAGATTATAGTTTGCAGTTTCTCAAACTGCAAATCGCAGATAGCGAAACCCTAATCTACGAAATCTCCTCATGCACGATCAACTTTGATCTTGATTGAAATAAAATAGAAAAACCCCTAATTTTCTATTAATATTACATAAAATTGAATTCCTAAACATTCAGTCTAGAAAATTAAAAAAAATTACAGGCCAAAAGTAAAAGAACTGCAAATCGCAGTTTTCCTGCGCCATTCAAGATTGCGATTTCATATCAACAACCCTTAATCTGGGAACCAATTTCCCAGAAACTCAATTATCTGCGCAAATTGGGTAGAACGCCTTCTACCCATTTGCGCAGTTTCAGATCTGATGAATTTCGGTTCAATATTTAAACCTAGCTCTGATACCACTGAAGGGATGAGAGATCCATCATATGGATGGCCAAACCCTGCAGGTAGGTTGGGCGAAATTTCAAAAATTTCTCTCTCTCCCATATGGGAATCACATTCCCGGTTTTAGAAAAGTGCATTTTCAAGGATCAATCTTGAACCTAAACCGGACCAGATCTGAAACCAAAAGGTAGGAGAGGGATATACCTGATACGGAGTGGCAGTAACTCCCAACGAAAGTGTTCACGCACAAGGAAAACGCCAAAGATTGCTCCCACTGAAAATGACACAACGTAGGGTGGAGCAGAATCAACAGGTGGTTCTTCAGCAAGAACCAAACTCTTCAGCAAGAATTCAAAGGAGGGTGAGTGAGCACGACTTCAGATCAGTTTTTCACCAAAAACAGATATCAAGAACCTTTCTTGATCGCTCCTACAGGTGGAGATCGAACTGGCAAGGGCGGCAGCAATAGAAGGAGGCTAGAGCAGAAGATGGCGCCAGTCTAACTGTAGCTGTCTTCTCTCTTGTCTCTATAAGACTGAGGATGAATTGAGGTTCGCCCTCCTCCTCTATTTATAGCCTTAAAGAGAGGTTCTCCTAATCCCATTAGGAGTTTCCTAATCCAAMTCTTRTATTTGGRTYTRGACTCTCTTTAAGAGATAAGGATAATCCCTTATCTTATTTGCAGATAAAGATCAGCCCTCCTAATCTTATTAGGAGTTTCCTAATCCAAATCATTATTTGGATCTGGACTCTCTGAGTGGATAGGGATAACTCCCTATCTTATCTGCTGATCTAAATCCCAGAACCGCCCCTCTTTAATTAATCAAATTAAACCAGTTCGAATTTGGCTTTAGGCCCATTTAGTCCATATGCTCATTCAGCCTCCAAACTGCTCCCCAGTTGGGTATCCTTGTATGGCGTGGGACCCAAACATTGATCTACACATCGGCCGCATGGGTTCAGCCTAGCCTCTGTTACAAGGCCTAGCCGAATTCACTGTAAGAGATAGTGAACCCCTGAGCCCATCACCATGGGCTCTTAATGGGCCCAACATTTACACTAAATGGTCTTTGGGTCAAGCCACCTTGTAAAAACCCAAGGACTGTGGGCAGATGCAAGATTAGCCCATCAAGTATTTCTCTCAATG